GATCAAAAAAATTGCATAGATTAAACTCCACCAAGATCACTTTTTCAAGAGGAATTTCTTAATGAAACTAATACAAGGACTCTGTTTTTTCAACTTGAAAACAGAGCATGCATGGTACTTTATACTTACATCTTCTAAGAATTAATACAGTTTTTACTAGCAAAACAAATGGATTAAAGTTCCATTTAAGAAAATCTTCCCATTGAAAGAGAGTCAATACATTTCCCAAATAACCTCTAAAATTTAGTTGCTAAAAAACGAAAACCTTCTAAATTTTACACTTAACCAAATGAAATTTATGGCTAAACAAGTAAAGAACTAAAGAGAAAACAAGATTTAACATGTATTTAATATATCAATTTCAACTATGAAAGAAGAACGAAAATTGATCAAAGAGAACTGAGAAGCAATCAAATCAAACCTGTGAGAGATTACCGGAGTCAAAGGAAGAATAAGATGAAAGAAAATTGATGAAACTTCAGACAACGAACAAAATGCTCTCAACAATGCAAGAGAGAAATCATAGATGAAAATAAATCACACATAAAGAAAGAAAAATCAGGGATTATGTTTGATGGAGGGGATGAAATAGGGAAAAAGGGAGGCAAAGTGTTCAGACGAGGATGGTGCAGGAAAACTAGGGAAAAAAGAACCCAAAACAATTTCCGCCCAAAACATGTGTTTAATATTAAAACGGCGCCGTTTTAATTCCGCCCAAAAATTTGCAATACCGGCTGCAAACCAGTTTCCCGATATATATATATATATATATAAAAGCAAAATTATGGCATCAAAAGATTTCGGTATTCCTTAATTAAAAAAAGTCACCAGCCATATAAGTAGTTATTTTTTTTATTAAAAGTAAAAAATTCTGAATTTAAGTAACATGATGATAAAATGAGATAAAAAAATAAAAAATAATTGCGTGCAATCAAAATAATAAAAAAAAAATCAACCATAAAAATTATGGAGGAGCCAATCAATATTTACTACAGTAACACATAAGGTTAAAAAAAATTATATTAAAAAAATATATAAATTTTACTGTTGAAAATATTTTTATAAATTATTTTCTTTGATTAAAGTAATAATTATTCATTCATCAAACAATAAAACGATTAATTATAATATATAAGGAGAGCTATGACCCAGAATACTCATGCCCTACTTTTCTTCAAGTAGGGATAGAATAATTTAAAATATCGGGTTTCAAAAAAAAAAAATTTAATATATATTTAGTTTAAAAGGAAGGTAGACAATTCTTCTATTTAACTATAAAACAAAATAAAAGAGTGAAAAAAGAAAAAAAGTCATTTACTTTATTTTTTATTTTTAATTCTCACTTATTTTTTAGGGCACTTCCTTCTCTTTGTCTCCTTTTTCCCCTCAGCTTTGTTTCCTCCAACCAAACATATATACATACATATACATATCCATATATATATAGTGTGTATATATATAAAACAAAAAATTGTTATTAACTATTCAATCTAATGTTTATCCACTTTACTTAAATATTAAAAAAAATTAAAACTACATAATTTTAATAAAATACTACTAAAAAAACAAAAAACACTCTAATTCATAATTTAAAAATAAAATATTTTAATATTTTTCAATGACAATTTATTAAAACGATATAATTTTACGATGATTTTTTTCTAATCTTTAAGAGATAAAACAGATAAGTATTATTATCTTTAATTATTATGGCTTTATTTCATCTTGTTAAATAAAAAAAAAAAAAGAATTAAGAATAGTCATTCCTAATAAGCCATGCCATTTCTAAATTAACTTATTTTAATAGTTTGACATCTAACCAA